TCGTCCTTATGAAAATAATCTATCAAGGAAGTAGAGACTAGGCTTAACTTTACAGCATTCTATAACATTGCAGTGCTTCCACAGAGAGATGCATCTCTACTTTGTGATTATATAGTCAACATCAAAGTATTTCACCAATGTAAAATCTCCATATCATGGATAGATCCTCAAGAATATGATTAACTTTATTCTAATGTCATAAAGAGTAACACTATGCCTAACTAGAACTTTAACTGCAAATGCAATATCAGACCTGATTGCAATTTGCAGAGTATAGTAGAGTTCCTTATGATGCTTAAGATTAGGAACTTCAGGTCCTAATATTTTCTCATTAATTTCTTTTTGGTCTAAATGGATTATTCACTTTTAGTGAATGGACCATCACTGGGTCATTTATATATTAATATTGGTGAAATAGCCATTTTGAAAAATGCTCGATCAGAAGGTCAAGACATATAATTATCTTTGACCTCGATGCTAAACATGTTGTGACTTTCACTCTTTTCCACATGTGATATAGGAAATCCTTCAGGGATAAATATCACCATCAAATGAGCCATATATATATGTTGTCAAAACGTTCATAAGACGTGTTTCCAATCTTTCAAAGACTATTAGGCAAATTAGGAAAACAAATTGTAATTATATCTATCATAGGTGAATATGTCTCATCATAATCAATCTCGGGTCTCTTAGAGAACCTTTGGGTAATAAGTCAGACTTTATATCTTACAACCTCATTTTCTCATTTCGTTTTCGGACAAATACTCATTTATATTCAACATTCTTTACATTGTTAGGAATTCAAGTTATAGAGAATCCTTCGGGGATATAAATATTATCGTCAAGTGACCCTGCAGTCATGACGCCCATTAAATGCATCTTAATATGCATCATAGTTGCTATACTGATCAACTAACGGAACATAATAAAATTCATTACAGGAGAATAAACATCACAATTGATGTAGGGTCTCTGCGAAAACCCTTGTTCATTCTTAATTTCCTCCTTTCATTCATTCTCATTTGAATGCTTCTGGCATTCTTGATTGGTTTATGGTTCTGGATCCAGATTATCTCTTGAGACAGCAAGACTTACTCTGAAGGCAATAGTGTCGCCGCCGACAAATGATATTATCATATTTTTTCTCATACCACTATAATGTATTTTAACTTTTATCTCAATCTCATCCAAATCTTTGTCGTTTCCCATGACATTCAGATTTGGGTGTTCCGTATTCCCGGGACTATTCGATTAGCAGCGCTGTATTTATTTCACCGGGTTCGCTTTCTTCAGGATTAACCTCTTTAGGAGGCGCGATGAGCTATGAAGCACCGACACTTCAAAAATCCTGACGTGTCGTGTCCGACACTTCCGACACTCACCAACACTCCGACACTTCCCGACACTCCAATACTCGTTGCAAAGACTCAAAAAAGGTTCAAAGGTTATGTTGTGTTGCATTTTGAGTTTCAACTATTAAATTCGTTAGATTACGATTACGATTTTATTAAGTTTAATATAAACATTTGAGATATTTCATGTTTCTTTGCAAAATTGATGGGTATTATAAGTTTAGCTTTATTTTTTTGTTAAATTATTGAATACTAAATATAATATACACTACATAAATTAAAAATATTATATAATATCAAAACGTGTCCTAACGTGTCGAAATTTAATATTTTTTAGAATTAATGTCTCGGAGTGTCGTATCCCGTGTCAGTATCGGTGCAACATAGGCGATGAGGACTTATTTTCATTTTCCGTGGATTTATGTCTTTAGTCTCATTCATGCTTCTGGCGTTGTCTAGACTCAAACAAATTTTGTGTTATTAAATTCTCCATAACAGGTGGCTCATTTTCTGCAGGGATATGAAACTTAGTCACTCTTTTGTTATCAGTAAATATACATGACATTTTCCTTGTTAATGATTGCAAACTAATGATATTTTGAACTTCAAGTTCAATTATACTTGTACGTGGATCGTTATAATAATTCAGTTAGTTTTTCATTCAAAATAATTTTCCGGGATTCATCAAGCTTCTGGCTTTCTCCCCCTAATGGCTGGAAATGTCCCTTTATTTAATCCCTCTATTTAATAAGTGAATTATGTATTAATCAATTCGCCCATCACGGGCTCCAAATACTTGATTATGTATTGATTTTCACAAACTCGCGTAAATGTCAATTCTTCATATAACATAGGGACGTATATAATTCAATCAAAAATGCGCAGATGGGAAACATCATGTTCACATTCACGTACAAGTTCAAGAGGGGAGTAAAAGCATATGTTTACATTCATGATTATGTAAATGTATCGATAAAAAATTCTACAATATCTAGTGAATCCTTTTGCCATTTTTTTATGCAATCCATCTGGGATGTATATAATGTGAGATTCACCATTCTTGCCAATATTCAATCAGCCATATTCATTTCATTAGCCAGTTTAGTTTGGCTCCTTTCCTTTTCTTGATTTGACATTGTTGGATTTTCAATGGTCCCTTCAGGGGTTATATTATATCATTATTTGTGTTTCATACCTATCAAAATAGCTGGAGTCTTTCATAAATTTGACATTTATTTCAAACAACTTTAAAACCAACAGGTGTAAAATTAGAATTATTTTCACTCGTTTGGATATGAAAAATAATTATATATTGAATGATTTAAAGCAGAGTAATGATCTATTAGCACGTAAGCATGTTACTATATACTAAACTATTGTTCATACTTATTGCCCCCAAACAATAAAAGTCCTGTTTAGGTTTTGGTATCTATCTATAAGTAGTTCATTTTTTTTTTTTTTTGTTAATGATGTGGGTCACATGGCAAGCCAGGTACCAAGTTACCAACAACAACATTACCATCGTGGTCCCACGTTCTCCCTCAGACGACACCGCATCGCCATCAATTGCATCCATTTCATTCAGTCCCTAATCATCACCACCACCATTTCTTTCTTTCTTTTTAATGCTATCTTTATATCTGCATAAATAGATACATTTTGTGAATAACATTTTTTTTTTAAAATGGGACCCTATGATGTTTATGGAAAAATTAGTTAGCTCAAATTAATTGTTATTAAACAAATGAGAAAAATGAAAGTTGAAACAAAAGTAAAGTTGCATTACATATATCTATTTTTAGTATTTTCCACGAATTAAAAAAATAGGAAAATCATTTTAATCCTTATAAATACATTTATATTTATTTTACTCTCCACCTTTTTTTAACAGTACCTAATTTTTTTTTTTACATAGTGTAACTGGTTATAATAAATTGTCATCTGATAATTTTTATGACATGTTGTCATCTGTTAAATTCATTCGAAACACTATGGTAAATAGAATCAAACTGTTATCAAATTATATAAGTCCACTTTCATTAAACAAGATATATTACCTGTAATTTTTTTTTCATCTATTACTTTCAACGGATCTACATAGCAGACAGATTTTTTTATGTTTATTTTTCAGTCACAATACTTGAATTTAAAACCTATTTAAAGGAATCAAATTCTTTCGTACTTAAAATTATTTGTAATATATTAAATTTATTAATAGGTGAATTGAATTTCTAACAAAAAAGATAAGTTATATTATACTATGCTTAAAAAAAAAGTTTCATACATAAAAAAATAAGTATTATTTTTCTCATATTATACGAGAGAAAAAAAATTTATGCACACACAAAGTGCAATGTAAATCCCACTAAATAAGGAAGAAAGAAAAGCATAAAGTGTATCCATATTAAATTTTACGTGTATATGAAATAATTTCTCTCTCACGAAAAAAATAATACCTTAAAAAAATATAAAAATACCTTATCAAACGACAAAGAGAAAAAAAGAGCTATGCTTATGATAGACGCATAAAAATATCTTATGATATTGGCAAAACAGGCCAACCTGACTCACTCAAATCGTATTTGTAAAGAACTTTTTCTTTACCGTATTCAACCCAAAAAAATAGCCGGGTTCAAGTTGGTTTAAAAAAAAAACCAGTCAAAAAATTCAACCCGACCCAAGTTGGGTTAGGGTTGGCTCAAAAATTCCTCGCTTTGCTCATTTTCAGCCTATTTAAATGATCCTATAGTATTAATGCACTAGCTATGTGGCTTCCATTAGCTTAAATAAAGGGTTACAAAATGAGAAATAAAAGCAAAATATTTTAGTTTTGAATTTTCTTTACAACAAATTTGCATCAACATCAAGAAACAATCAAAATCACTTGTTACCATGTGGGTAAGATATTTGAACCAAACAGAGCCAACACAGCATAACAATATAAAAATAAGAGGGATGCGAGAAGATTAGGGACTTAGGTTTAGAGAAGGAAGAAAAATGATGACAACATGTGTAAGTTTTGTCCATTTTTGTATATTGTATTTTGTATTTTTTATTAAAAAAAAACCTCAACCTGCGAGCTGACTCGTTTGATCCGCGGGCTGACTTGATTTTTCACAAATTGAAATTCGGATCGGTTCATTTTTGACAATCCAACCCAATTCATTTTTGACGGGTTACCACGAGTTGGCTCATTTTTGCCAATGCACCAAATCATAGAATGAAGAGCTCCAAAACAATGATACATTGTATTATTTTTTCTAAGAATTGTAATTTGTTAGCATCCGAATATTGAAAAAAAAAAAATTCTCAGTAGATTAAATCCAAATATTTATGCATAACAAAAACTTCTGATAAAAATGTTCACGAGAAAATAAAACTTCGCTTAAAATATTATTTAGTAATAAAACAAAGCAATTCAAATTCAGAGATATATGGAATAGAAAATTGGGTATCCTTCGTCCTCACCATTTCCTTGTCAGAAAAAAAACATGGTCATAGTCACAAATCTGAAACCACCGTTACCATACATCTCCTCCTTTTCCTTTTTCTTCTTCTGAATCTTCTTCATTTCTCACTCATTACTCCCTCACTCACTTACATTCGGTTCTATTCTCCGAACCCGGTTTTTTTATTCGAACCGCAATGGCTGCAGCGTTGGAATGCTGGTCGAGCCGTGGCGGCAACAACGACGAGGACATGGTGGAGCAGGTTCTCATGCAGAGATCAGAAGGTCCAACGGTTCAAGCGAAGGACTCATCTTTGGTTCAGAAGAAGCTTCAGAAGCTCACACGCAACGTTTCCGAGGCCATAGCATCAATCAAGAACACCCTCAACCTTAACATGAACACCAACCTCGACTCTTCGAAACTCGATGCTTCTCGCAATGTCGTGTGGGGAACCGTTGTTCGTAACCTCACACAGCTTTACCCTGGTAGCCAGCTCCCCGAGAAGCTCATGTCCAACATTCGCAAGCACTATGATTCCTTGCCTCTCAGGTTGGAATCTGAATCCGAATCCGAATCCGATTTTGAATGTCATGATTCAATTACACACTGTGTTTTTTGGTGATGGGTTTTGCTTTCTGAAGTGTTAGAGCATCTAAAGTTTGTATCTTTCAAAGATTCAATTGCACTGGTTTGGTTATGTTTGAGCTCACTTCAGTTATGGGTTTTCTTCCTTCAATGTTAGAAGCTCTAAAGTTTGTATCTTTCAACTAGGGTTGTTTTCCATTCTGGATGTGAAGATTCAATTGCCTTGGTTTGGTTGTGTTTTGAATTCAATTCAGTATTGGGTTTTTCTTCATTTGTTCTTTGGTAAATGGGTTTTGCTTGATTTAATGTTAGAAGCTCTAACATTTGGATATTTCGACTTTTTTGTTTTGGGCAGTTATTCTCAGGCGGGGTTTGATGTGAAAGATGTGTTTCTTCACATGAAGCTGATGGAGCAAGCTATGGAAGATGAACAGGCTGCGATTTTGATTCAGGAGGAGTGTGATGGTGAGATTCAGCTTCAGGGGTCTTTGTTCAAGTTGACATTTGCTTGCAACTCTCCAATATCGTGGCCTGCTATGTCGGGTGCGTTGGATAGTTCCTCTATTTGCTGCAAGAAGATTCAGATCTTTGAGAAGAAAGGTTTAACCCTTGGTATTGTTCTTCTTCTTGTTCTGTCTGGGGCTGGCCAAGATAAGTTGGTCAGGACCCGGGTTGAAAATGCTCTAAAGTTTGCCATGAAGAAGCCTAAAACCAGTGCTGTGAAGCTTCCCTTTGGGCTTTGCGGTTGTCAAGAGGAGAACTCCAAAGGGAGAGAACCTGGAGAGATTGAAGAAGATGGCGGCAATGCGTACTTTGGAAATGGGTTTGAGAGTTTGAGCCAAAAGATTCAGCTTCAGGTGCCCTTGCCTAGTTCTTCTTTTCTTGTATCAGTAGATGAATGGCAGACTATTCAGTCAGGTGGAAATGAGTTGGAAAAATGGTTGTTGAACTCAGATAGTCTTGAGTTTACAGAACAGATTGGACCTAATTCGTATAAGGGCACCTACATGGGGAAAAGGGTTGGCATTGAGAAGCTTAGAGGGTGTGACAAAGGGAACTCTTATGAGTTTGAGCTCAGGAAAGATCTGCTAGAACTGATGACTTGTGGGCATAGAAATATTATGCAATTTTGTGGTGTTTGTGTAGATGAAAATCATGGGTTATGTGTAGTGATGAAATTCATGGAAGGTGGATCTGTTCATGATTTAATGTTAAAGAACAAGAAGCTTCAGAGTAAGGATATTGTAAGAATTGCAGTTGATGTGGCTGAGGGGATCAAGTTTATGAATGATCATGGTGTTGCATGCAGAGACCTTAATACACAGAGAATTCTGTTGGATAAGCATGGGAATGCTTGCTTGGGAGATATGGGTATAGTCACTGCCTGCAAGAGTGTCGGAGAGGCAATGGATTATGAAACTGATGGTTATCGGTGGCTAGCTCCAGAGGTTTGCCCCTAATCACACTTATTTTCAGTTATCAAAATAATTGCTGAAATTAAGAAAAAAAGTATCATGCCATTGGGTTACACAGTCATGTTTAATTCTGTATTGCATCGTACATACAGATTTCGTAATTCTCTCCTCCAGTATTCTTTTGAAAGAAAATTAAAATTAATGAAAACACTTTGAAACCTAGACTCCTAATCTAAACCCACATGGCTTTTAGGAAATATATAATGGATGGAAATTGGGAATGTGTTTTAGGCTTTTAAGCTGCTGCTCCAGAAAATCCTTTAACATGTAGTGATTTGTTTCTAGATAGTTCTCTTTTTCCTAGCAAAATGCATCTCCAGATTTGTATACAAGGATTCAATTCTAGCCAGCCTGGAAAAGAAAAATATTATATGCTTGTTATGCATTTGTAGCCATACTTGGTGTCACTCCTCCGGGAATTTTAAAACATTTATGTCTGAAGTTTCTTAAAACATTGAAGTATTATCTTATATGTGTTCAAGGAAGATATGTTCGTACTGATGCCAGGGGATCAAATTGTTATATGAATTTTCTTCCCTCTATCTATGTCTCTCATTGTTTGTTTTGTTTTGTTTTGTTTGGCCTTGTTTACACTTGTTCAACCTAAAATTTTATCAAAAGTATTTGAGCTCTTTTATCTCCGTTGTCTGCTCTTCAAGGGTTATCTAGCCAAACAACGTGCTCGGTCTTCAACTGCAGAGCAACTTAGATTAACATTTTGTTAGGTTTATTGCCTCAAAGGGTGTTGTTTAGATCCATTGATGTGAAACGCAATGCAGAACTAGCCTGCAATAAAAAAAGCTTTTATGTCACTTGTCCTGGCATCATTGTTTGAGCATGCCTAACATGTATTAATAATTTTTTTTTGCTTTCACTATATATAGTGTATGCCTTTGTTTAAAAACTACTCTATATCATTAGACAAATCAGTGTGGCTGTGCGTGCTGATTGTTTGTCCTATTGATTCCAAATGGAGCCCGCACGTCTTAAAGCTTTAACATGATGTCTATCCCAGTATTTTAGTTATTTGTCCTATTGATAAAGCTACTTGGAAAGCTTACATACCTCGTATGCGGGCAGAAAAGAACGAATGAAAACTATCCAGTAAAATCATTGAAACAACTGAAGAGACACAAAAGTAAAAAAATTAAAAAAGCTCGCAAAGACCAATGTAGCTTGCCTCATAATTTCAATTTCTGTAACATTCTAAAAGAAAATAGAGAAAAGCTTCAGTAAGAATATATTAGTCTTTACAATTTGAAAGTGAAATTTTGTGCACCTTGGCTTTGTCTGATTGATATTATATGAATTTTACTATATTTTTGGTGCCCATTTTTAATTCAAGACAACATGAATTACCAAGCCCCCAAGCTTACTTGCTTGTTATTTCTCTTTTCTGTTGAAAACAGGTTATTGCGGGTGACCCAGAGAGCGTGACAGAGACATGGATGAGTAATGTTTATAGTTTTGGCATGGTGATTTGGGAGATGGTAACAGGTGAAGCAGCCTATTCTGCATATTCACCTGTGCAGGCAGCAGTAGGCATAGCTGCTTGTGGCCTCAGACCTGAGATCCCCAAGGATTGCCCACAAACTCTAAAAACTATTATGACAAAGTGCTGGAACAACACCCCTTCAAAACGCCCCCAGTTCTCTGAAATTTTAGCTATATTGCTGCGACCAAACAACAATAGGTAAATTTTTATAGGTCTTTGTGGAATCTAATCTGTTGATAGTAATTTATACCAAACATCCACTGTCAAGGGAGTTTCATACGTAAACATGAATCCTCTATGCTTCTATAACAGTAATGAAGATGTAAAGTTTCCATTTTCTTTTTATTTTGGACAATTTTGTACCATCTCTTTATGGTGTTTTTGCCATCACAAACCTATTATTTTCTCTTTTATTATGGCAACCTGAATGATGGTAATATTCAAATACGTTTTGCATTTTTTGTGTTATGAGTAGCACCTACATTACCTGGATAATTTTGTGAGGAATAAAAAAAAACCAATTTTAGGGGCCTACTTCATTGGTAGGAGAATATCTTTGGTACTACAGATGTACCGAAAACTCGGTGCATCTTCCACTTATTTTGTGACACGTGTCTTACTTTATATCAAATCATTCTCTCTCCTAATTTTAAAATAAATTATTTATTATTGATTTGACAAAAGTAAGACACATGTCACAATATGAATGAAAGATGTACCGAATTTACGGTACATCTGTAGCACCAAAGAAATTTTCCATTTGTAGGTTCTTCTTTTGTTCGTTTCATGGCTATTCTAAGGGTCCCATTTGATTTTGTGTTTCTTTAGTTTTTGAAACTGTCAAATACCGTGTCCCCATTTTTCCTAAGATATCCAACTTTTTCATCTTTTATGGTCAGATCGAGGTAACCTATTTCCATTTTGTGCTGGGCACATAGAATTTCACACATATCTGCTTCCGTGATGACATTGAGCCTGTTGGGAAATTTTAGTAGAAGGGGGTATGCAAGCCCTGTACATGTTTTTACCTTTTATTTGAATTTTGCATATAATAACGTAGGCAACCTTGTCCGTGGAAAGCATGATCATATCAAGGACCTTAATACGCTGAACTTGTAAAAGCATAATTGTTAGAATATGAGTCGTCTTGAGACTTAAATTTTAATGGAAGTTATAGATAAATAATTATATATGAAAAATGGGATAGGATATTATACCATTTTTTTATGTCTACTTTACCTATTTCTTTTAACATGTTTGATACTTTGATTACAATTTTATTTTTAACTACTAGTGAAGTTGGTGGGAGAGAGAAAGAAATAAAAGGGTTGTTTGTTTGACCATGTAAATCTCCACCATTAGTGTTGGTTGAGATTATAATTTAATGGTGTTGAAAGAAATAGGTAAAGTAGGCATGAAAAAAAAAGGTAGACATATGCTTAGCTTATGTACTGATAATATTGTAATATGAAGAACTTATGATTTACATTGCACGTTCTTTGTCTTGAAACTGTTGCGCGAGTCAACTAGTATCATATGCTTCTTCATGTGATTTTCCCAACCTGAAACCTTTTAAGGTGAGGATGCGTGGCATGACCAGTCCAAATCTTACCTGGAGTCAGCACATGGTGCATGTGAATGTGACTACTCATGTCAGCAAATACCACTGTGTTCCTTGTTTGTTTCTTATTTTCTTTGTAACGCTCACAATTTTACCACCAACTTTACGGTGACCAACCAGTTGAACCAATTTTATATTAAGTCAAGAGATGGGAAATACACAGGTTGACAAAAGAACTATGCCCATTTAATTAAATGTCTCAAAAAACTCAAATATGACATTACTTGTTAAGAGTTGGTTGATTTTGGTAAGAGGAATACAAAAACAATATGGGCTAGTATATGATAAAAGCAACGGTAGAGCTACGAGTAAGAACGATAATGTAAATCACTAGGGTGATATTACCTCACTCAATAATATCAGTAGTGCAGATTATGTATACGAGGGTCTTTGCACAGATTAGTGTGCGCACTAGATATTTCCCAAATGATTAAATTTCACAGTAAAAGAAGCACCTACACATGTTATTACATTGAATAGCTTTGTGGGATGTATGGCAAATGGAAACCTTCCGTTTTCAAAGCTGTAAATGAAGAATATGTTGTAGAATATCTCCATTATTGAAAGATAGTGACGGATGAAGAGATCAAGCGGACAGATTCCGGTGAGTCTATTTCACAGATTAAATGACAATTAACTTTCTGCCAAGCAAGTTGCATCCTAGGTTCCAAGCTCTGACTGCTGAAAGCTCCACATGAAGATATTATAGCATGCTTGGGTTACAGTTAGCACCACTGTTATTAAACCCGGCCCGGGCATCGACCCGGTCGGGGTACTGGGTCATCAGGTCACTGGTCGGACCAGTGGGTTACTGGTCGGACCGGTTGATCCGGATATATATAGATATATAAAAATATATATAATTATGAACATATAAATTCAATTATATTCTTCATATTTAAAATGAATTAAACAAGATTCATAAAATAAGCTAAAAATATGAAGCATAAATAAATAAAAATACATGTTATTGCTATGTCAATTTAAATTGCAACTCAAAATCCTCCTAAACATATCTCTCAATGACATTGAACTCATATTTTTCAAATTCAACTACATTAAAAATGACATATGTCACAATCTCTTAATTTATTATTCCATAAATTGCTTCAGTATTGGAAGCTGAAATTTGAGGTCGTTGTAGAAGAGTATACTAGCAAATAAGATTACAAAAAAAAATTAAAATGAGTTCTACATTTTTTTTGACAAAAATAATTTTGGTTTTTTTTTTTTTTAAATGCATGACCCGGCCGGGGCACTGGGTCACCGGGTTTGGCCGATTTTGTCCGAGTTTTGACCGGGTTTGACCGGGTCGATGCATGACCGGTCCAATGCTTAACCCGAACCGGTCTGTGATCGGGTCACTGGGTTCCGGGTCGACCCGGCCGGGTTTTACAACACTAGTTAGCACACTCAAACTTCAGTTTGAGGCGTGCAAATTAAGTTTCATCCACAAAAAATATGTTTAGCAAAAAAAAAATTCTCCGAACTAGGGATGACGATTTTCAACACGACATGATCACAACACGAAAAATTCATATTGGGTCAACCCATTTTTAAATTTGTGTCACGATTTCGTGTTGGCAAAAGCTAACCCAAAAAAATTCGTGTCGTGTCGTGTGTTAACCTGCGAACCTGAAATTTATTTGCGTTAATCTTCTTACAAGTTATTTGCGTCATCATAAACAAATTATTTGTGTCTTATAATGTTTGTTGACTAGTATAATAAGTAACACAATTTGGCTTCACCAGTTATTCATTTTGTGTTGTGTCAACTCACATGTTAAAGGTTTTAACCCAATTTTAAATCCATTTCTTGTTTGTGTTTAGTGTATTCGTGTTTGTGTCGAATTCATATCATATGGTGTCAACTTGAATTGCCTCCCCTACTCAAACTATTGAGTAAAAGTGAACAATAAATAAAAATGAAAAAGTACTGTTTCATTGAATCATATCATGATTTACAAACTATAGAGTTCGTTCCAAGTGGATAATATTTGATATTGGGGTTTGAAAGCAAGGTGTGATATTATGTGCGTAGTTAATGTGTGCGCAGTTAATGCATGAGCAAATATGATAAGTTTGATTAGAGAAGATCAAATGTTAAGCCCAAATGACACAAATTCAAGACCCAATTTCAAATGGATTCCCAAGTTGTTTTAGGTCAAATTATACTTAGTTAGCTCCCTTAATGGGTCAATTATGAAGGATAGTTAAACTAATTAGACTTGGACATATAATTATTGAATTTTCAAAGGATCATAACTCTTGGGAGTTGTTATTAATTATTGCATTTCCTAAGCAACACAACTCTTGGGAGATGTTAAGAAGCTAGTTCCATGGCAACTCACTCTAAAAAGTTGGAGAATAATTAATAGTTGATTTCTCTTTGTATATTTGTGCTTTTAGTTTCATCTATAAATAGGGAATATTTGTAATCCACAAACAATGATTTGATGAATGAAAATTGAGTGTTGCAAGTTCTCTCAAATACTTGTTTTCTTTATCTAACCTTTGATTAGTGGTGAGGCAAATGCGTTCTTTATCAATTCGGAAGGTGGCCTAGCCTTTAATCTCAATTGTGGTGGATTTTTCTTAGGCTTTTAATAGTGTCATGGTCTTTATCTCAAATCATATCTTTTTTACTTCTTTAGAAACAAAAAGTGTCATTAATCTTGATCTTTCATAATTCAATTCTTACATTCTGATACCCATCACACATTAGCAGTGACAGTAAAAGCTTATGATTTCATAAACATATACCTCAGAGTAGCTTAATCCCATTATACATATGTTTTACTTATAGGTGGTAGTATTTGGATATGATTTAACTTCCTAGATCGATAAAACACCTGTATGATAATTTGCATTTTGATAGAGGAGTAATTTTTTTAGTACCCTTGGGACCTACTATAGAAGTAATAATCTACTAATGTCTTGTTATTTGTACATAATATTTCACAAACATGTTATCATTATCATTTGATTTTCTTTTGAGTGTCAATATTTCAAAGCAACTTTATGAGGTTTGTATGACTGGATTTTTTGTGTGTGTAAATATATGAGACTGATCGGTTTAAGAATTTTTTATTTGCTTTTATTTGTCAATTTTATGAATAATTACAAAAATATTGTCTTATAAAAAATAAAGTGAAAACAAAAAGAAGACCAAAGTGCAATGATTTGGCAAAATAAATTCCAATATGCCATACTTTGAAACTTATTTTTTTTTATATTGTGTTTAAGTCTCAATGACATAATCAGCGAGATTTCTTTTTTTTGTCATATGGAACAATGAGGCTGCTAGCTCTGCATTACCGGTCTCGCTAGTTCCACCTATATGATCTTGGGCCACGTGGTGCAATGCCATTGGTTAACTAGGAGTGTTCGCGGTCTGGATTGGATCAGTTTTGGAAGCAAAAATTATCCGATCCAATCACTTCGGTTTGTTCATGTAATCATCCATTCGGTTTGGATTTTTTTTCAAATCCGATCCGATCTAATCCAATTTTTTTGGTTTGGATTGGATCGTTTTTCGGTTTTTTGAAAATCCTAAAATTTGTTTCATGATTATTGTGCAAATAACATCTTTTGTATATATTGATTTGTAAATTTATTTATTTTTTGA